ATCACTAATCATTAGAGAAATCCAAATCAAAACCACAATGAGATATCACCTCACTCCTGTCAGGATGGCTAGCATCAAAAAGACAAAAGATAACAAATGTTGCCAGGATACAAAGAAAAGGGAACCCTTGTGCACATTGGTGGGATTATAAATTGTTTCAGCCACTATGTTAAACAATATGGAGTTCCTCAAGCCATTAAAAACAGAACTACCATATGATCCAGACATCCCACTTCTGGGAATACACCTGAAGAAAACAAAAACATGTGAAAGTGATATCTGCATCTCCATGTTCACAACAGCATTATTTACAATAGCCAAGACATGGAAACAACCTAAGTATCCATCACTGGATGAATGGATAAAGAAGCTGTGCTATATACACACAATGGAATATTAGTGAAAGAAACGAGGAAATCCTGCTATTTGTGACAACATAGATGGCCCTTGAGGGCATTATGCTAAGTGAAATAAATCAGGGAGAGGAAGACAAATATTAGATGATCTTACTTATACGTGGAATCTAAAAAAATAGCCAAAATCATGGAAAAAGTGATCAGATCTGTGGTTATCAGAGGTGGAGAAGGGTGGGAGAAACTGGATGAAGGTGGTCAAAAGGCACAAACTTCCACTTATAAGATAAATAAGTACTAGGGATGCATGATGACTATATGCATGATAAACATATATGTAAGTTGTATGATAAATATATACATAAGTTGTTAAGAGCATAAATCCTAAGGGTTCTCATCACAAAGAAAAAAATTTTTCCTTTATTTTATATTGATATGAGATGATGGATGTTAACTAAACTTAATGTGGTAATCATTTCACTATATATGTAAGTCAAATCATCATGCTGTACACCTTAAACTTACACAGTTCTGTATGTCAATTACACCTCAATAATACCAGGGGCGGGGGGAGATAACACATATGGCAAAACAGCACAAGAACAGATGCTCAACATCATTAGTCCTTAGGGAAATGCATGAAGAAGGATTAAAAGAGGCACGAGAAAACTTTTGAGGGTGACGAATCTGTTTACTATCTTGATTGTGGTGATGGTTTAATAGGCATATGACATGTTAAAAAATATAAAATTGCACACTTTAAATACAGTAAGTCCCCTACATACGAACCTTCAAGTTGTGACCTTTCAAAAATGTGAACGTACGGTCCATCAGTCAGGCGTGAGTGAGCTTTCTCCTATTGCTGATGATACTTCAGCTCTACCACCTCCCACCTCCTCTCCCTCCTCCAGTCAGTAACTCTTCTTGCCTGTTCACTCGATGTCAGCCCCTGTATGCCAGCTGTTGTACTGTACTACTATACTTTTCAAGGTACTGTACTGTAAGACTCAAAATGTTTTATTTTTTGTTTCTTATGTATTATTTCTGTGAAAAGTATTATAAACCTATTACAGTACACTAGTATTAATATATAGCCGATTGTGTTGTGTACCTAGGCTAACTTTGTTGGACTTACGAACAAACTGGACTTATGAACACGCTCTCAGAACGGAAGTCGTTGGTATGTAGGGGGCTTACTGTATGTGTACCTCAAAAGAAGCTGTTTTAAAGAAAGAAAAAAAAGCAAAGAAGTGGGGAGACTTTTAAAAGTGAATTATTTTTTCACGTTTTTAACATTTTTTAAAAGTTTTGAACCATATGAATATATATTATCTACTCCAAAAATTAAATAACAATAGAAATGACATTTAAGCCAAAAAGGGTAGTTTGAGTTGATATTTTTCCTGCTTAAGTTACAAATCCTCTCAAAGGATTTCCCTAGCCCACAAATTCCTCACTAGACCAGTAACCCTCAGCTGTTTACTCTGCTCCCTTGGGTGACTGGGAATCCAAAGACATGGTGGCTTCCTGTTTATGGTTATAGACTGAGAGCAGTGTTCTGTTAGGCCATGTATATGCACATATGTTTTCTTTGACCTCAGAAGAATCTAACATCTTAAGGTCATGTCAAATATGGGGTAGCACCAATAAAATCTGAGAGAATGTTCCAGATTCAAAGACCAGTATAGATTTGCTTCTGTGCCACCCAGTATCAGCTAAGATGAGCTCAGCAGTAAGATGCATAGGAAGAAATAACTCTCATAGTTTTTAAATTATCGGAAATTTGGCCTCGGGAATTCCCTGGCAATCCAGTGGTTAGGACTGCACACTCTCACTGCCAAGGGCCCGGGTTTCAATCCCTGGTTGGGGAACTAAGATCCCACAAGCCGAGCAGCACAGCAAAAAAAAAAAAAAAAAAACAGAAAGGAAATTTGGCCTCAAAACTCCCGTTTTTTTTCCTTTTTTTGGCTGCGCGGCTTGCAGTATCTTAGTTCCCTGACCTGGGATGGAACCCGTGTCCCCTGCAGTGGAAGCGCAAAGTCCTAACCACTGGACCACCAGGGAATTCCCTGGCCTCAAAACTTGAATCGGGCTTCCCTGGTGGCGTAGTGGTTGAGAGTCCGCCTGCCGATGCAGGGGACACAGGTTCGTGCCCTGGTCCGGGAGGATCCCACATGCCGCGGAGCGGCTGGGCCCGTGAGCCATGGCCGCTGAGCCTGCGCGTCCGGAGCCTGTGCTCCGTCGGCAACCGGAGAGGCCACAACAGTGAGAGGCCCGCGTACCGCAAAAACAACAACAAAAAACAAACTTGAATCAAATTATAATGCAGCTGTTTACAATAAACATAAGAGGAAGGGAAATTCTAACATGGAGAGAAATCCAAACCTCCCAACCAACTATGGTGGTTAAAAACCCAGGGTGCTCCTGCCAAATTCAGGATATGTTACTCACTCCAGATAACCTGCCTATGATCTCCAGTTGGAGAGACGATCAAGGTTCCTTTGGCCCCTGATGCTGTTCAACAACAGCAATCATTCCCGAGGTGCTGTCACAAGCCATGGAATGTTTCTGTTTTTTTCCACCAAGGGATTAAACATATTGGATCTGGACTGTGAGGCCAACGAGGGACGGTTCCATTGTCTAGCATTTCTCATCAGGAATCAATTCTCCCAAGTGATAAGAATCAACCTTAGATTAGAGGTCAATTTGCCAAATGGGAGTCATCTTGCAGGTTCGTTACAAAATGGATGCTGAGCCCTGCTGCATAATGAGTAAGCCAGTCTACGGAAATCCTACAGGAGGCTCCTGTTACCAGTCACTTTGGAATGCTCATCTACCTTCAGCTTCCTCATTTAAATTTTGTGTGACTGACATAAAAGTGCATGCTTATTGAAGAGTTTAACAGAGATAACACTAAGGACTATTTATAAAAGTAGAGTTACGGTTCAAGTTTTGGGAAAATTTGCATCAGAATTTCACCATTGTAAACACCTTGAGTAAATGTGGACCAGAAGAGCTCTTTTCAGTTTACTGGGTTTATCCAAGACTGGGATATTTCTTAGGATTTTGTGGCTTTGGGTGAAAATACCTTCACTTTGATCTGCTCCAACAGCAAACAACAACAAAACACCCCATAAACCAAGATATCATTAGCTGGGCCTCTAGAAGCCTCAACTCCTGCTAAACTGATACCATGATTGCTCTTCAAAATCACCTGGAGAAGGTCTCCCTCATTGCTTTCAGCGAACACAATTCACTCTGCTTTGAAAGCTTCCCCAGCTCCTTTCATTTAACTCTGCCTTCACCTTTCTTTAAGGCTACCCCAAATCCCACACTGTACCCAGGACAATTCAAAGAAACTACCCCTGGCTACTGTGAATTGTGCTTTCAGAAAGCAACAAGCAGCCAGAGCACACGCAGCCCGGTGAACCTGCAGGGGGAGCTGGAAAATGAAATGATGGGATTTATGTTTCTAAGTGTTGGCCCTGGTTGAAGTGTAGAAATTAGAATGCAGAACTAAGGAGGATCCAGAACACAGGAGGGATGATACCGCAGCTGAGCCCTGAACACATTGGTTGGGGAGGGGGAGGTGTGTCAGGAGCACCCACTCGGCAGAAAATCCAAATACAACCTTATAATCAACCATCTGCAGATTCAACTAACCTCAGGTGTGTAGTACTGCAGTATCTATTAATTGAAAAAAATCCAGCTATCAGTTCAAACTCGTGTTGTTCAAGGGTCAACTGTACTTACATGGTACTAGAAGGTAAGGATGGGTGTTGAGGCTGAAAAGTTTGAGTTTTGAGGAAAGACCTTCAGAAGGCTCCTATTTAATGGCCTGAAGCAAGAGATGGGTCATTTCCTGAGAAGTGGGGCAGTGGAAAGGATCTCCAGGGTCTGAGATACTTTGAATTCACTGGGGGCGAAGGAGGGCGGGGCAGGGGATGGGGCGGGCCCACCAGAAGCCCTCAGCAGCTTGAAGGCTTGAAAGTGTGATTATGCAGGATCGTGGAACAAAAGAACCATGATTAACTATCGATATCATTTGTGCCCTAATTCAGAAGGCTCCCTAGATGCCAAGCACACACTAAGCATTTCTGTATAACTTAACCTCATATCAATCTCACAAAGGCAACCTTTCCAGAGGATGATTAGCATTTTACAGTCGAAAATCCCGTGGCTCAGAGAGGTTAAGGAACCCGACCAGGGTCGCCGAGGCAGAACGTAAGAGCCCTGTGTCCTAGGGTATCTGGCTTCAGAGCCCCATTATTTACCCTCCTTAAAGGACAGCAGGACTTTAAAACAACTTCACTCACTTTTTAAGGGAGAAATTATAGATAAAGCTAGCAGCTGACGAACATGAAGGAGCCTGAGAATCACTGAAATAAATTAACAAGCAAACCTAAGTGTTTACACTTAACTCTACAAGTTACGTTTTCAGTTCCTTAAATTAATAGTTTCACCGTAATGATAACCCACTTTTTGTCTGCAACTTCAAACCGGTTTTAAATATTACTGAGATTTTTTTTTTTTGATTGCTTGACCAATTTGCTAATGAAGCAAACACTAGGCCTCTCCTCCCAGCACCCACCCCCCCACCCCCGTTCCCGGCCCCGGGATGGGGAAAGGTGCCTGAGAGGCGCTTACAGTGATTTCTGCCTCTTCTCTCTCCGAAACTGTTTTGAGGAGCAAATAACTGAGTGCCTGAGAAAGCTCTAAAGACGCCTGTGAGTTTGCTCGGAGATGAAGCGCTGAAAGCATCGCTCGAGGTCCGGCCTGCCCACAACTGAGAGATGCGCGCGCAGCCGGAAAAGCAGGACCAGGTGCGCACACGCGGAAGTGCCCGGAGACAAAATGGCGCCGCCGCCAGCGAGGGCTTTAAGCGCAAGTCGGCGGCCAGCTACGGTGGCCCTCGGGGGCCATTACAGTGTTAGGACCGCGACTTCGCTTGAGCGAAGGGGACGTCCGCCGAGAGACTAGAACAACCCTGACTGGGCGTAGGGCCGAAACATCGAGGACCGCTAGACGAGGGTGCTCCCAGCAGGCCACAGTCAGATGAGGAGAAAAGAGCAATGCCATTCACTGAATTCATTCATTTATTCATGCACTCATGAGCACCGTCAAACTTCAGTTTGTTCTTGGAAGTGACCCCTTCCGCGATGCTGTAAGGGAAGTTCTGCTTCCGGAGGGAGGCTGGACTAAACGAGATTGTCCCCCCAACAGAATGATACCAATCACTTACTGAGAGCAAGGCTCTGTGCTAAGTGCTCTGGAAGGATGCCAGGATGGCCTCTTACCTACAATCCGGTGGTGACATGTATGGGCCACCTACCAGACACAGAGCAGAGGCAAGTTCAATGCCGGCTGTGGGTAAATGAGGAGAGAACCGCCCTGGGAAAGAGGAGGTGCGACCCGACCACTTTGTTTTTATTACTGGGGGTAGAGGCTGAGGGTAGTGGGCAGAGGGGCTGGCCTGCAGTAGCCCTGGAGCTGTGTTCCCTTCTCCCACTTCCATTTCCTGTGGTCCTCACTGGTGTTAGGAGAGGTTGTCCTTCCCTTGCGCAAAGAACAGTAAAGATTTCTGCCTACTGGCCTCAGTGTGGGTCACACATTTCAACTCCTTCACAGAAACGAAAATACCTGGAGAATTGTTTGAAACCAACAAACATACAAAAAAATAATAATATGCATTCCACTATGGGGGAGATTGCACCCAACACTGTCTATCACACCTCGCAGGGTGTCGTAACTGCCTCCCAGTAGGCTATACAGCTCTCTTTTAAGCCAGATGCTTCTGGGTAATGGGGCATGTATCAGTCTACTATTGCCACAATAAAGCTGTGTAACTGCTCCAAAACTCAGAGGCAAAACACAATCATTTATTCTCACTCATGCATCTAGGAGTCAAGCTGGTGTGGGCTGGGTTCCGATGGGCTTGGCTCCAAGCTGCAGACTGGGTCCAGGTCACATTTCTATCACCTTCCTTGGACCAGTGGGCCACTTGGGGTTCACTCTTCTCATGATGGGAGGAGCAAGAAAACAAACTCAACTGTACAAGTACAGTTTAAACCTTTGCTTGCATCACATCTGCCCACCTCCCATGGTCAGAGAAAATCCACATGGCCAAGCCCAACATGAATGAAGCAGCAAAGTACATTTCTCTCACATAGAAAAGGGAAGCATGTGTGAATATTTTAAGCAATAATCTAATTTGACACAAAGCACATGATTACACAGTGAACTCCACAGTTATGCGCCCACTGTCACACTTCCTTCATTGAAAATGTGTTCCCTGGTTAGAGAAGATGCTGTGTACTGCGGAGATGGACATAGCATTCTCTAAGTCCGCAGATGCCAGGGCGGCAGGCAGGGAGGGTACAGCCGCATGTGGACAACCACTCTACAGTTGACAGGCATATTGCTGCCTCCTCCAGGAGTTGAATGTAACCCACCAGCCACCAGCTGGACACCTGGTCCCCCCAAAGATTAGTGTCCTATCAGGTCCTCAAAGCTGGCTTCTGCTGTTGTCAGGCTGGGTCCTCCGCAGTGGTAGTCAGGCAGCCAGATCAGCCTTGATGAAGGGCAGCCCATGCCGTTGAACCCATGCATAGCCTCCATCCTGTTACTACGGCGACTTTGTATATGGTTTCTTTGAACAAGCACTGGGGGTCTTGGGCTGGGGGTGGGGGTGTGAGTGGGAAAGGCCAACATCCACAGTTTACAAAGATCTCCTCTATACTGAATGCCTTCTCCTGGGTATTTACACAGGGCAAGATATCTTCACATTCTGGGCCCATGCAGAAAAATTCATCCACATACTTCCCCACCAGACTGCCATCCCTAATCTCTAATCTTGTTCTTTCCAAGTCTCTGATCAACTGGGCAACCCTTTAGCCAGTGTCCATCAGTCCCTCAGGCCATCCCCACTCATGTAAGAAGTGGAAAACCAGTCATCCACTCAACGTTCTAGCATCTGAGATGATTTCCCTTCGCCACTGTCTTTTCAGAGCTGCACCCAAGTGAGGCTGTAATACAATAGCTGCTCACGTCTGGCTCATGCCAGCACATTATGCAGGTGTCACGGACCGGACACGGGGATCCCCTGAGTCTGTACGTGTGGGTTGAGGAGTGGTCGAAGCAGGTGTTACGGGAATCTGTCATTTTCAGGCCCAGTCCTGTAGACCCACTTTCCTCTTTACAGTGGAATGTTTCTGTGTACATCCAATTTTATGGATCAGGTGAAACTAAATTCATGAAGGGTAGTTCAGATGACTGTTAGTGCCACCTGACAGGTCCTGTGGCCTTCAGTTGAAGGTGCAGCCAGCCTGCAATGAGGGAGCTAGGGGAATATGTACCCCTACTTCACTCCATCCTTGCCGGTGCTCCCCATTGGCTGCATCTGACCAGAAGCCAGAGAGCCCACTGATGTGTCCACATAAGCCAGCCTCTGGGGGCTCAAAGCTGGATGAAGGGGAGAAATTCATTGGTTGGGCTGTGGTGTCAGCCTCTAGTATGGCCCCCAGTGACCTCCACCCCCTGGAATTCACCCCCCATGTAGTCCTCTCCCATATTATACTAGGGATGGTCTGTGTGACCAATAACATATAGCGGAAATGATGAAATGTCATTCATTGGTTAGGTTATGAAAAGGCACTGCAGCTCGGGGTTTAGTTGTTGTGGCAGAGAGCTTCCTAAGATGGCCCCATGATCCCTGCCACCTGGTATTCGTGCCCTGGTATAAAACCCTTTCTTTGAGTGTAGGCTGGACCAAGTGACTCGAATCTAATGAACAGAATATGGCAAAAGTGATGGGATACAAAGGACCGTGGCTTCCATCTTGCCTGCCTGCTCTCCTTCCTGCTCGCTTGCTCTGATGAAGCAAGCGGCCCACCGGAAAGGCCCACGTGGCAAGGAGCTGAGGGAGACCTCTGGCCAAGAGCCAGCGAAGAACTGAGGCCCTCAGTCCAACAGCCTGTGAGGAACTGAATCCTGCCGACACCCACAGGAGTGTGTGGGAAAGCATCACCCAGGTAAGATTTACAAATCTTAGCCTGTGCTCACTTCAGCAGCTCATATACTAAAAGTGGAAGGATACAGAGATTAGCATGGCCCCCATGCAAAGATGGCACACAAATGCGTGAAGCATTCTGTATTTTTGAGTAATCTTACATACAACTTTCAAAACAAACTGCTAAAAAAAAATCTTAAATTAGCCCCAGCTGACACCTCGATTGCAGTCTTTTGAGAGACGCAGAACCTGAGGTCCCACCTAGGCCTTGCCCAGATTCCTGGTGAGAAAACGACTGTTCCTTGGAGTTTGGGGGTAATCTATTATACAACATAGGCAATACAGTCTCAGTCTCTCTCTCTCTCTCTCTCTCTCTCTCTCTCTCTCTCTCTCTCTCTCATCACTTGCTTCTGTGGGAACTCAGCTGCCCCGTCACTGGCAGCCCTCTGGAGAGCCCACCTGACGTGAAACCACAGCCTTCTGCCAAGAGCCATGTGTGCGCCTGGCAGCAGATCCTCACCTAGTCAAGGCATCAGGTGACTGCAGCCCCTGCCCACAGCTTGATTCCGGAAAGACCCTGTGTCAGAACCCCTGGCTCCGCTACTCCCGAATGCCTGACCCTCAGAAACTATGTGAGGTAATGAATTTGCCTTGCAGCAATAAATAACTAACACATGAGCAAAGAGAAACCATTCAGCAAAGAGGAAAAGGGGAAAGTCCATGAAACTGGGGGAAATATTCTTCAAGAAAAGTATCTGGTTCATATTTTTGATAGACTCGGAACCTATGCACAGAGTTATTTTTAGAGTTTCTTTCATAACAAGAGTTTGTTTTCCTTTGATTCAGGGACAAACTCTGGTATTCCACTAAGTTGAGAATGATGACGTTACCTACCCTTTACTTAGTACCTACGACTGCTGGGCAGTGAACTTAATCAACCTTCACAAATAGGGAAATTGAAGCTCAGACGGGTTAGCTCATTTATCCCACGGCACACAGCAAAAGGCAGAACCAGAATTCCAACCAGGTTCGAAGCCCTAGTTCTTTTCACAACGTTATCACGGCCTCCGTAATAGTGACTCTTGTAACTTAAAATAAAAACACACCCTATAGTCCGAGTGACAAATACAGAAATACATTCATTCGTTCATTGAAGTTAGAAAGTTAAAACATCTTCATAAAAAAAAAAAAAAAAAAAACATCTTCATATTTCAAAGCAATTAGTGAATGGGAGACAGGACTACCCTTAGCTCTGTCCCTGACCCTTACCTCCAACCCCAGCTTGTGGCTGGAGCTCAATGTATTTGATGACGACGTTAATTCCACAAGCATTCCACTATCTGGGGATATGGAACGCAATCCAGGATCCGGTTTCCGGAAGGGCCCTACTGTGCCCACAACGGGAGGTGGAGGGTGGCGCGGAACTGGAAGATTCAGCGGGAAAGTTGGGGAGACGCAGGCCGGGGGGATCAGGACTGCAGCGCCACCCGGATTTCAGGGAGCCAAGGAGTCCCAGGTGGTGCCCCCGGGAGCCCCCGGTGGTGCCCCCGGGAGCCCCCAGCTCACCGAGAGGGAGCGAGGGGAGCGGGGCGGAGCCACACCCGGAAGTTGCTTAGGCCCGGACCAAAGATGGCGGCTGCGGCGCCGCTCGCCCACGCTCCGTAACCTCCTGTAACCAATGGAGCCGCGACGCTCGGGTGACTTACTGCGACGACTTCTGCACGACATTATCTGATGCAACCAACCTCCGAGTTGAGGAAGCCGCAGGTGCACTTTGCGGGTGATAAGGCGGCGGCGTGTTGGAGGTGATGTCCTTGGAGGTGACCAGGGCGACCGCGGGGATGGTGCTAGGTGAGTGAGGCTCGGGGACCCCGGGGTGTGTAAGTGGCGCGGCGCGGCGCTCCTGCTTGGGGCAGCAGCCTTGTTCCGGCCAAATACAGCTCTTACCCTGGTGCCTGGCGCAGACTGGGCGCCCCGCCGCTGTTTACGTGAATGGTGGGAGAGAGGAGGGGCTAGGACCCACCCTGGATCCGCGCTCGCCGAGCAGGCCCGGCTTCCCTAGAGCTCTGGGTGCCCCGGCTGGGGTGGCGGCCGCTCCCGGCCCGGCCCCGCTGCGAGAAATCCCGTGATTCAGCTGAGACGTAGGCAGAGCGAGGCATGGCCAGACCTCAGGGCAGACCCCAAATGTGACTCTTCCAAGTGACTGGCAGGAAAGGACTTAAGAATGCGAATTCTTTTTCACATATCCTCACTTATATTGAGATTTCCTGGGAGACCATCTGGTGCAGTAGGAAAAGGAAGAGATTTAGGAGACCTGGATTGATGTCTCTGCTCGCTTACTCCTTGTGAGGCCTTCAGTTTGTTTAACCTCAGAGCTTTGGTTTCCTTTAAAGACCAGAGCAAACCGGTATTTATTTGATTTCTGTGCTCTAGCACCAGCATATCTGATTTATATATTTCATCCTCAGTACTTCAAGATGGGTATTGTTTTCCTCATTTTATAGGCTCAGAAACAAGCCCAGAAAGGTTAAGTGAATTCTCCAGGGTCACTCTGGCTTTTAAGGCACAACATCCAAGCTTCCAGTTTGGTCTGGCCAACTGAAAAGCCATTGCTTTGTTGTTGGGGATTCGAGTAGATAGAAGCAGTACCACAAATGAAAATGATCAAAGTTCCTTTTGAAAGCTAAATTTAACTAATCCCTTTTTATGGGATGGATGTCCTTGGATAGGGAGTGGGAAAATAATTATGATATAATTTCTTTCGGACCTTGATAATTTTTACCAATCAGATGCTTGTTCTGTTTACAAAGATAAAGAATGGATAAACTAGCTGCAGTATGAGGTGACTGATAATTATTGGCCAAGTGAGTAACTTATTCTCTTTTTGTGAAACAGCAGAGCTGTATGTCTCAGACCGAGAGGGAAGTGATGCTACTGGTGATGGAACCAAGGAGAAACCTTTTAAAACAGGCCTTAAGGTAGTGCCTCTTTCTCATTAGGAAAACGACTTTGCATTTATTAATGACTCATGTCAGTTATTCTGTGACTTGTCAGGAGTTTTATTTAAAGCACTAGGTTTGAAGAGAACTTTCTGAAAAGGGCAAGTAAGGGGTATATACAGATATGTAGCTTTAAGGGTATTAGATGATCTACGTCTAAACTTTTTTTTTTTTTTTGGCCGCGCCTCAAGGCTTGTGGGATCTTTAGTTCTCCGACTAGGGATTGAACCTGGGCCCTTGTCAGCAAAAGCGCCAAGTCCTAACCACTGGACAGTCAGGGAATTCCTCTTGAACATTTTTTTTTTTTTTTTTTTTTTTGTGGTACGCGGGCCTCTCACTGCTATGGCCTATCCCGTTGTGGAGCACAGGCTCCTGACACGCAGGCTCAGTGGCCATGGCTCACGGGCACAGCCGCTCCGCGGCATGTGGGATCTTCCCAGACCGGGGCACGAACCCGTGTCCCCTGCATCGGCAGGTGGACTCTCAACCACTGTGCCACCAGGGAAGCCCTCCCCTTGAACATTTTTAATAGGTATCTTCTTTTCTTACCATACGGCATCGCATCTCAGAATTTTTCTCTCCAATGAGTCAGTTGGCCAGTTTTTTAATTCTTGTAGAACTAAAAATCATCTTCCCTTAGTCATCTGAGTTTATGCTCATGTTTCTTCCAAACTGACTCCTAAGAGTTCTCTCGGTGAATTTACCACTCGAATCCAAATGTGATCTTGAGCCTTGAGACTCAAAGACGTGATTTATATCAGTACCAAGAACAGAGCAGACACTCATGAACTCAGGAGTCTGGAGCCTAAAGCCAGGATGCTAATTTAACAATATATTATTGTTTCTCAGGGTGTAGAATCCTCCTATGAGTTTAGCGTATTCTCTTTAAGCAGACTTACATGGAAAGCCAAATACAGTTCAGATGGGTTCTTCAAGAGCTTCGACTCAGCATTGAGTAGGTACCTGATGGCATTGGGTTACGGTGTGGGCCAAGAAGACATCCCTCTGCAGGTAGCCGTGGGCTTGCCTGTAGACTGGAATGGCTACAGCTGCTACATAAGGAAGTTGATTAAAGCCCTCTCCCAGGACAGCACCAGGAAGCGCACTGCCCTGACACTTCTTTCTGTGTATCTGTGTCTGGCCAATCCCCCTTCTTGTGAGCTTTGTTACAGTATTCATTTTAGGTTATCATCAAGTGTTCCTGTCCTGGGACCATTCTCTCCTCTTGTAGCTCATACTCTGGTTATGTTTTGGTGTGTCAACCATGGATCTTAATTTTTTAACTCTTAGAGGGAAATCTTTCTCATTTTGGATTGTTGGGGTGATTCCTGTGGCTGCCCAGAACTGACAGTAGTGTTTAGATGAATGTTTGCAAAATGTCGCTGTTAGCAGAAGTGTGCCATTCTGATTTGGAGAATCACAGTTTGACTCTTTCAATATCACTGATTAACAAAGGAGGGATCAGTACAGACTGTCAGGTAGTAAATGAATTCTTAGTGATTTACAAACATCCTTACAAAGTCTAATTGTTAAAAGGAGGAACTGAACTCTCCTGGATGTTTCCAAAAGATCCAGGTTCCCTCCTCCTCTGTAGCAATAATTGAGTTGAGACTAGTGTTAAATCAAGATGAAAAGTATTTTTCAGGTTTGGAAACTAGATCTTAAGAAAAGGTCAGTTTTCATAAGCTTCAGATCTTACACGAGAGACAGTCATTCATTGCATTTCTTGGTTGATGATAACTTAGGAGAAAATTTGAAGGAATATTTGAAGCAGTTAATAAAACACTTATCTTTTACATACTTTCAACTATCTATTTTTTTAAAAAACGAATACAAACTATAATATATTAAATGATAATATTGATGTCTGATATGTCCCAGTATTGGTGAAAAGAGGTACATACATTCTACACACAGGAATTTTTCCAATTAAATGAAACTTAGCCTTCTGTGTACCTAACCACTGTGCTCTTGAGAGAGTTTCAGAAATGACTTCCCTGGTTTCTTCGCGAGGATTAATCGTCTGGATGTGCCCTGCAGTTGGCCTTTGCCATCAGCTGTCTCTTCTGTTGTTGTCAGCGTACCTCCTGTCGGTCCCCAGGGCCACTTAAAATCTGTTGATTCTAGTCCACATGGGAAACTATATACTATGTAACCAGACTTGCTAGAATTGTTTGGGAAAGGACGTTCTACCTTAAGCAGAATGTTCTTTGAATGTTCTGCCATTCCTTCTGTCGACATTGACCTTTGGCTGGTGGGGTCTTATGCTTTCTTCTGGGCTCTCGATTATTTTCTAGGTGATCAAAGTTACCTCATAATTCAGGTGTTATTTTGATTTTAAACATTGTACAATGTTAAAGAAATGTCCTTTTTCCTTGTCCCTCCCTCCCCAAGGCTTTGATGACAGTTGGAAAAGAACCCTTTCCTACCATCTACGTAGATTCACAAAAAGAAAACGAGGTAGGGTGAACCCAAAGCTTTACAGAATTAGATTTTGTGAAGAAACCTTCGTTAGAATACAGTGGTCTTGAAAACATTAAATATCTGTTTATCCCTCCAGAGGTGGGATGTTATTTCTAAATCACAGATGAAGAACATTAGAAAACTGTGGCACAGAGAACAGATGAAGAGTGAATCCCGGGAAAAGAAAGAGGTGAGCAGTAGATTTGCTCTGTGAACATTTTTCAAGTTGGGACACCAGAAGCCATGTTAACAAATTGCCTGGTTCTTAAAACTAGGCAGAAGACACTTTACGAAGAGAGAAGAACCTGGAAGAAGCAAAGAAGATTACCATTAAAAACGACCCAAGTCTTCCAGAGCCAAGTTGCGTAAGTGTGATGTGTATCGTTTCAAATATCATGGACTCACGGGGTCAAACTATTATTTCTGTGTCTGAGGGGCATGCCACGTGCTTTGTTCCTTTGCACTGTTTGTCCCTTCTTTTCTTTCAAAAGGGAGAGCGCGCAATAATGTTTGAGAGTTATGAGGCTGGTCCTTGCGGGGCTCCTTTTTTGATAGAATTTAGTAATTGCGTGTTGAACGAATTCTGTCCCGACTAAAAGCTGGCAGCCCTGGCATCCAGGCGGGGCGGGCTGTGTGGGCTCAGACAGTGATTTTACCCTCCCCTGGGTGTCAGTTTCCTCACAGTAAAAAGAAGAGGTTGAAATCCAAGATTTTCATGATTTCTTAAATAAAGAAAAAGTTTTTGAAATTTGATTATGTCTGTATTCTTTCTAGACCAGAATGCTGGACTGTGAATGGACATGGTTAGAATTCGAACGGTTCTTACTGCTGCTGGATTGCCATTGTTTTCTTGCTTCCTCAGTGAGGAAGCTGTTTTCTTGGCCACACCCTGCAACCCCTTCCTCCCCTCCCCTCTCTCCTCCATCCCTCAGAGGAAAAGCCAGCCTCAGTAGCTTCCACCACCCAGGGTGGTGGGAGGGATGGTGAGGTCAGGGAGAGGGCTCTGCGTGGACTAGGCTTGTTGCTATTGTGAATTCATTGATTTTATATAACAGTATCTGAAGTTCTGATTGTTTCGCTGACAGTTTTGCAC